TGGAAACTTTTTATTTTCTTTTTATCGATGAAGTTCTCAGTGTACCTGGAATTTCGAAAAACGCCATCGAAGTAGATAGGCCGACAACGAACGACTTACTTTAAATATATTATTTTGCTTAACAATGTTAATAAGTTATAAATATCAAGGAAAAATGTAATCATCATTGTATATGGGTAAACAGCTGAGGGAAACTATTTTACCACGCAGAAAATGTCTCGCTAAAGGTGAGGGTTTGAAATAATACAAGAGTGTAACAGTGTAACAGTACGATGATGCTGAACACTCTTCATTGATATTACCACGTTTCTCACCATTATAATAATATCACATGACCATAAGATTTAAATGTCACAAAATAGAAAAAAGATATATGTGCTATAAAAATGATAAAATTGTGCTACACTTACATTTTAAAAAGGACACACTTTTCAGTTTATTTTTTGAACAGTTTGTTTGATTTGTGACTTATAGAGTAGTGTGTTTATAAACCGCTGAATAAGGTTCTGGCAAGAAGCGGGGCTTCTCACAGACAGACAGACAGACAGACAGACATCTATATTTATACAGGATAGCCCCTTCAGTGTAGTAAACACTGGTATCAACGGGGGTCCTGTTACCCACCCATCCCACCCCAGGGGAGGACATCCATCACACAGTAATCTCGTGCGTGGGAAATTAACGTCTCCTGCCCCTAACCCTGCAGGAGACGGGACCTCCATTTATTCGTCCCTATCCGAGAAGACTAGAATATCTAACCATTTCTTGATGTTAAAGAAAGGAAGCATATTCTTCTCAGTTAATTTTAAGACCCTGAGTGTTGGTCCGGCCGGTATTGAACTCTCGACCTCCCGCACAGCAGTCCGGCGCCCTCCCAATTGAGCTAACCAGGTGGCGGTCTCCATATATATTTTTAAACAGGGTAAATTCGGCGAGATTTCCGGTCCGAAATTGAATGGAACGGAAAAGTTCCGGGATAAGTTTTCGAAAATTTAGGAATACGGGGCGCTTTCTATTCGACCAAAAATTCCGAAAATTCCGGTCCCAAATTGAATGGAACGGTAAAACTTCTGGGAAAATTTTTCGAAAATTTAGGAATACATTTTGAGTGCACTCTCGTCAATGGAATTTCCCGAATTATCGAAAAGGACGCTTTCCATTCGTCAGCTAAAGTTCCGAGATTTTGAACCGGTGAATTTTGTTGAATGGAAAGCGCCCTTGGTTTTTTAGTTAAAACGTAATTTGCACCTATCGCTTTTTTCGCCGGAAATACGTTCTTTAATTAGTCTTCTTTCGCTAGAGCTTGTTATTTTGGAAAAGATGATTTTCAAAATTTACTGCGCATTGTGTTTGCTTTCTTGGTTTTTTCCAAAATTGTGACTTTTCACAGGCACGTGTTACACGTAAGTGTCAATGGGTTTAATCTGTACTGAATTAATTTTTGGCTAAAAACTTTTAATATACGTAAAGAAATGTTATTGCAAAATTTTCACTAATTGGGAGCTCCGCTTTTAGGCTTGGCTAAATCTATATATCAGACAACAGTGTTCGAACGCTTAGAAAAAAGAAAGTATAAAAAAAGTACTGTAAAAATTTTCCTGGAAGTGGATCCCCTGAGCTATGAATCAATGTAAATGAGTCCACTCCCAGCCTTTCATTATCATTTACTGACTTCAGTGACTCACAGCCACTTTGATTCTTACTCGTAATACTCATGTCTGATAGATGTACCTTTGAAAAACACTATTAAAATTTCCTTTGCTTGACAAACTAATCGCATTAGTCACAATTTGCTTGGCTTGCCTGCTGAACTAATGACTTAAAAAGAATGGCTCTTAAGTTTTTTTAAAGTCTAAACTCTTATGAAGAGTACACTATACACTGTTTTGTCTCGGATTATTAAACTTCGAAGTTCAATAAGCTGTTTACAGAAATGCATTTCTATATGTATCGATCCGAGTTGTCCTTCGCAGATCGCTAGCAATTAACTTACAATTACGAGCTTTGCTAGGTCAGTTCCTTTCGCCTCAAGCTTTTAAGGGGGGGTTGGCACTGGCCAAGTTGCAAAATCAAATGTCACGTTGTCGCCCATGAGCATAAAGGGTGCCCATTGAGAAACTTTGTCATAGCCGTTATTACGCATCCAATTTCTGGCCATGTGAAGGGATTCACAGGCACTTTCACCTCGGAACAAATGTTTGTAGAAACAAGTCATGAACTGCTCTGTGGCTGTGTCGTCCAGGGCCCATCGTGCCGCTAACACTGAGCGAGCACCGGATCCCAAGAACGCTCGGGCGATTCCAATCACTCCCTCGGTTCTAATCTGTCCACGAGCACTGTGGCAACAACTAAGCACCACAAGTTTAGCTCGCAGCCGAGTTTTTGAAATATCCGCCATCGTCAAAAGGTAATCTTCTTCTCGAGGAAAAGGTGGGAGTAGGGTAGGGTGCTCAGGAGAAAGAGCGATCTCCCCTCTTTCGGCATCACCATGTGCAGCGATGTGTATCAGGCTCACTGAATTTATCGCTTGGAGTACAGCATGCTTTGTCGCGGAATCTCCAATCAAAGGCGTTACGCCAAGGAGTCTTCCAATCATTTCTGCTTCTTTCCTTGCACACAGCAATGGTGTCATGGTTGTGCGCCTTTCCTTGTAAATTACGGCTCCAACCTCAGGGTCACCAACTATCAGTGCTCCTGTCTGACTGTGATAGTCTGGAGGACTGTTTTGAACACACTTGAGAGTCGTCAGAGAGGGAACCATCCGAATCCTGCAAGTCTCTGATAAATATTTGCCTCCTTCGTCAGCCAAGGCTGCAAATGGCACTTGGTACATACAGGAGTCAGGGACAATAATGATTTCAGGCTGCTTCAGTAAACTAGCCACAGGAGCGAAGATTATCTTATAACACAAGTGAAGATTTGTTTTGAAATCCTCAGCATCATGGTCACGCAGGACTGTGCGGTTGTCGTAGTGATGAGGCATCAGTTCGATATCATCCAGAGATCGATCCTCGCAATTCTGTTCTGGTAGAATGGCAAGGCTGCGGAAGCTCTCTTTGAAAAACTCATCTAAATCAGGGACTAATCCGGTCACAACGTTTGCTTCAAGGCTCACCGTCTTTTCTGTAAAATGAACATCTCCCATTCCTTTGAGAATCCAAAACCGTACATCATTTTTACCAACCGAAATGTACAAGCATGCGCAGTCTACTTCTCTTCTGATAATCTCTTGAATGCCATGCCAAGATTGTGGATTGCCAGAAATCTGCTCTTGAACAGAGTATCGAGCGGTCATCAAGTCGGCTAGGCCTCTTGCCCGTCTCAGCTCTTCCACGTACAGAGCTTCTTGTGACTTTCTGGTGGAAGAAAGCAACCTACTCAACAACTGGTAGGGAAAGGCGCCGTGCTCCTCTAACAAGGATATTTGAAATTGATCACTGTCTTTAAGAGAACCTCGTAAAGTGTCGAATTTCTCGATGCTTTGACAAAGATACGAAGAAGCTTCTTCAAGATGCGACTGTGACACCTCTAACACCGATAGACTTCAAAGACATTGAAACTCGTTCAGGTAGTGTCGAATTTCCCTGCTTAATACAAGAGCCTTCTTGAAGTATTCTTCCGCCATATCATGGTTACCGGAGGATTGGAAGTACCATCCTAAGTTTAAGTAGTCCACTATTTCTCCTTGTCTGTCACCGATTTCTATGTGAATTGCAAGGGCTTTCTCCTGACATTCTTGCGCTTTGTCGTATAGACCACGCCGAAGTGAAATGATCCCCAGATGTCCGTAATCCGCTGCCTCTCCCCTTCTATTACCGATACCCACTCTTATTGCCATAGCCATCTTTAGATAGTCGTCAGCCCTTGCAAACTTGCCGAGCGAGAGAAACAAACCTGCAAGGTCTCCGTAGCTTGTTGCCACTCCGTTCTTGTCACCAATTTTGTTATTCATACCCAAAGCTAACTCCATATAAACTTTAGCCTCATCATATTGACCGAGCAATTGGAACAATGTTCCAAGTCCTTGGTAACTTGTTACTTCTCCACTCCTGTCGCCAATTTCTATTTGGAGAGCGAGTGCTTTCTCCTTATATTTTCGGGCCTTGTCATATTGACCAAACGATTGGAACAATGTTCCTAGGTTTCCGTAACTTGTTGCTTCTCCACTCCTGTCGCCGATTTCTATTTGGATATCGAATGCTTTCTCCTGATATTTTCGGGCCTCGTCATATTGACCAATCGATTGAAACAATGTTCCTAGATTTCCGTAGCTTATTGCTTCTCCATTCCTGTCGCCAATTTCTTTTTTCATAGCTAGTGCTTTCTCCTGATATTCTTGGGCCCTGTCATATTGACCAAGCGATTGGAACAATGCTCCAAGGTTTTCGTAACTTGTTGCTTCTCCTCTCTTGTCGCCAATTTCTATATGGAAAGCGAGTGCTTTCTCCTGATATTCTCGGGCCTTGTCACATTGACCAAGTATCTGGAACAATGCCCCTAGGTATCCGTAGCCTGTTGCTTCTCCATCCCTGTCGCCAATTTCTATTCTGATAGCGAGTGCTTTCTCCTGATATTCTCGGGCCTTGTCATATTGACCAAGCCCCTGGAACAATGCCCCTAGGTTTCCGTAGTCTGTTGCTTCTCCATTCCTGTCGCCAATTTCTATTTTCATAGCGAGTGCTTTCTCCTGATAAGCGCGGGCCTTATGATATTGACCAAGCGATTGGAACAATACTCCTAGGTTTCCGTAGCTTGTTGCCTCTCCATTCCTGTCGCCAATTTCTATTGTGATAGCGAGTGCTTTCTCCAGATATTCTCGGGCCTGGATATATTGACCAAGCGATTTGAACAATACTCCTAGGTTTCCGTAGCTTCTTGCTTCTCCACGCCTGTCGCCAATTTCTCTTTGGATAGCGAGTGCTTTCCCCTGATATTCTCGGGCCTTGTCATATTGACCGAGGGATTGGATGAGTGTTCCTAGGTTTCCGTAGCTGTTTGCTTCTCCATTCCTGTCGCCAATTTCTATTGTGATAGCAAGTGCTTTCTCCTGATATCCTCGGGCATTGTCATATTGACCGAGCGATTTGAACAATGTTGCTAGGTTGCCGTAGTTAGTTGCTTCTCCATTCCTGTCGCCGATTTCTATTTGGATATCGAGTGCTTTCTCATGATATTTTCGGGCCTCGTCATATTGACCAATCGATTGAAACATTACTCCTAAATGTCCGTAGCTTGTTGCTTCTCCATTTCTGTTGCCAATTTCTTTCTTCATAGCGAGGGCTTTCTCCTGATATTTTCGGGCCTTGTCATATTGACCAATCGATTGAAACAATGCTCCTAGATTTCCGTAGCTTATTGCCTCTCCCTTCCTGTCGTCAATTTCTTTTTGCATAGCTAGTGCTTTCTCCTTACAATCTTGGGCCCTGTCATATTGACCAAGCGATTGGAACAATGTTCCAAGGTCTCCGTAACTTGTTGCTTCTCCTCTCCTGTCGCCAATTTCTTTTTTCATAGCTAGTGCTTTCTCCTGATATTTTCGGGCCTTATCATATTGACCAATCGATTGAAACAATGCTCCTAGATTTCCGTAGCTTATTGCTTCTCCATTTCTGTTGCCAATTTCTTTTTTGATAGCGAGTGCTTTCTCCTGATATTTTCGGGCCTCGTCATATTGACCAATCGATTGAAACAATGCTCCTAGATTTCCGTAGCTTATTGCTTCTCCATTCCTGTTTCCAATTTCTTTTTCCATAGTTAGTGCTTTCTCCAGATATTCTTGGGCCCTCTCACATTGACCAAGTAATTGGAACAATATTCCAAGG